GTATTTTGACTAGTCAAAATATAATTAGAGATATCTTAAATCGCTAAAACGTCTAGTCACATCACACGCTAATCAAAATCAAAGCCAATTCACCTTTAGGAGATTAAAGGAAGGTCCTCCCTTCATGTCTCGCCTTCATTTCCCCTCCTGCTTTTAACTTCTAACTAACCAAATTGCCATTTGCATCCTCTCTGTTCTCAACTTTCCTCCTTTCCCAGAATCCATCCTGATGCCTTTACTTCATATCTTTACATTATTTCCCCCCCTTTATCATCTCTTCCTATTATCATTCTCTTCCTTTACTCTCATCAGTCTCTTTCTGTCCCTGACAGATATTCATACATAACAGTTTTGTTAAAAAAAACCCAAACAAGATCGACCATTTATCTGCATTTTTCTGTTCTTTAAAGCTGTTTGTTGGGGAATCTAAGAACAGTGATACATAGCATTTAATTAGCAAAGCAAAGATTCAAGTTTTTCTTATTTTTTAGAACAATTTCCAGCAAGGGAAAAACTGGTCCTGTGATGTGGAAACAAAACTGAATGGAGATGGAGCTCTTAATACTTTATATTCCAGGAAAATAATATGCAAATGAGTCTTTTTTTATGCTAAATTGTTCTAATAAGAGTAGTTTCAGCATCTTTTATCTGCAATCATCCCAGTAAAAGCTGTTGTTTTTTTTGGTTTGTCTCTGAAAAACCTCAGTCACATGACTGGGTTCCACCAATCAAACTCTTACATTGAGTCCATGTTTAGCTTAATTTAACCCTCATTTGGCTCAGTTTTACCTGAATGGCAAGAACTTTTTTTTAAATGATGGGGGGTATCAAATTTTGAGCCAAACCTGGTCTTCTTTGATATGCTACATGACCACCTTCCCATTGGAAACATTTTCCCCCGATCCAATATGGCGGCTTTCAAAATGGCCGCCATGCTCCAGGCACATTCTGCATTCTGACTTTTGACTCCAAAAACAGGGAAAACGCTCATCTAAAGTCGTTGTTTTAATCTTCTAATGGCTTCTTTAATTACGTATTAATCATAAAATGCAACACAAAGCACCTTTAAATAGCCTCTGCTGGTTTTTTGTTGTTGTTTTTTCGTTCTTTACTGCGCCTTTAAGTGTCTGAAATGTGTGGCAGCCATGTGGGAGCTGGATGTGGGCTGATTTATCCGTCTGAAAGTGTAAATGAAGGCAGGAGGTAGAGTCTGTTCACACCTCCAGTGGGTGAAAATCACATAAACCTTAATTACTGGCCTGGGTGTCTCATAATTAAACCCGAC